CTCCGTTTAAACGGATGCCGGTTAACGACTGCATTAGAATTGCAAGCGAGATGCGGTCTCGAAGGTAGCGGATTTACTTGGAACCGCAGAAAGTTGTGCGTGTTCGAACACGAAGTTGCAGCCGAGGAATTTCTCGCGACGATTCACGAGAATTTTCGCATTTCTTTTTTTTTTTTTTCCTTTTTTTTTAGTTTTAATTCTTTATAGGATCATATGATTTGGAAGTAATATTTATTATACACACTGTCATCTGCAACTTTTTGGATAATTTTTTGGAAATCAAAATTCAATATTAAATTTTCAATTATAAATTTAATTATTTTAAATATACATGAATGATATGTTGCACGTTCAAGAATATATTAAAGCAGTACTTGTAGTTTATCTAATAATGTAATCTAAATAATTTTTAAACACAGATAAAAAGGTATATTAAAAATAGTGCTATAAAAATAATTTGAATAAATATCAAAAAGCACTTGCCTTAAATTAATTGAAAAAAATAAAAAATTTTAATCATACTATTCGATTTCTAAATAAATATATCCAAAAATAAAAATATTGAACACTCCTGCACACTTATCATTATTCTAATTTCTAATCCATTACGAATAAAAGTTTATTGCTCCGTCTCGTTCAATAGAAAGATTGCATTGAAAGCAATATTCTTCTCGTATTCGCGTTATCGATGCCTAATTGGCCCAGCGGGTAGGGAATAAGCCTTGGAATAAGTCTCCATCCGCCTGATACATCCTTTATCCCATTAGGCGTCATTGTTGGTGCAACGGAGATATGGGTTTCGCAATAATACAGTGAACTTTTCTACGCGCGAACGGCCTTGCCTTTTTACATCGGCAACGGCTGTGTGTGGGTGTCACTTACTTTCCTGCCTTGAAAAACCTTTCACTGTTTTGCACCTACATAGACACGCGGTAGACAGCCGCGTGCCGTTGCCATAAAATCAGAGAAATCTTGGGAGCTGTGTAACTCGTTCCATATACCGTTCAGCGGATTCTATTTTGTTGCTCGACATTGCGTTTATTCCACATGGTATGTCGGTATATTACGATCGTGGGTACACGAAGGAAAAATGGTACAAACAGTGGGAGATATTTAATTGGAGGGAACTGTGATGTTAAATTTTTGTTCTTTCATTTCAAGCGTTTGAGAAACTTGAGATATTTATATAAATTTTGTTTAACGTTTGGATTGTATTAATATTTATATTAGTTAATGTTTGTATTAAGATTGATTTTTGGAAATTGATATGTAAAATGTTATAAATAATTTTCTTTTTGAAATAGAGAGAATATAGAAGAAAATTAATTGTTGCATCTTGTTATCTAATCTTTTTCAAAATCATTGTGAAATTTTTCTCAAGAAAATTATTACAAAATTCTGAAATCTAGTTATCCCTAAATTATTCCCTAGATAATATTCCTTTATTTCGAATTATTGTTTCAATTCGTGTAAGAAACTTTCTGTTTCGTTGCAGGAAAGTCCATAGAATGTATAAATGTCACGTCATTTTAAACCAAGAAGGGTACAATCGTCGTTTGTTTGAAGTTTATATGTCCCGCCCAATAAAATCTCTAAATGACACCATGTTACTGTTATGTAATCCAATACAGTCTAATGTGGTATATAATATGCAAGAACTTCGATGAAATTACAAAACGCTGATTACGCAATTTAGTGACCTTTCTCAATTTTGATTATTCAACTGCAGAATTCCAATAACTTTAAAAAAAAA